ATGTCTTCAAATGTGTTGAAGTCAGGTGCAAATGGATTTTTCTTTCATACCATCAGAAAATATGTTCTTGTGTTACCATACACCTCTATTAGAAGAGGCAATGCTTTCTATCGAATGGAAGTAAAAGAAGCTCGTAGGACCTACATGGTGGTAGGATACACCAAGAAGATCCAAGAAGTCTGTAGCCAAACATGAGAATCACCGTGGGTGTTTCAAATTTGAAAGTCAGATAAGTCAGCTTCAGCTTGCACAACGACCGCTGAAACTTCGCTTGACAGGTGAAGGGCACTACATCAATATTTTGAGCAGTGACTGGGAGCCCAATAGCCATGAAACCAACCTCCTGGAGATCGCCGCCAAGCCTTTCTTGAGGCAGTATGGCTTCACAAGTAAACATGATTGAACAAGTGATTGAACAATATTCAACAGGTGCTGTTTCAGAAAGCTTTAGAAACCATTCTGTACCATTCTGCACCACCAGGAAATGGGGCTACAGCTTGATCGCAGACCTTCTAGGCAAGGCTCTCGTACATCGCCACACTTTTTGCAGTACTTTGCTGGGTATCTCAGACTTTTACACTATTACTACTGACACTTTGCTGACACATTACTGACACTCTAAGCAGCCATTGAGTCCATTGAGCTTGCTATGCTTGTTGCATCATGCTTCCAGGTTTTGGCATCTACTATCACTGCAATCCTGTGAGCCCAGACGCGCAAGGGTTGCGATCTATTGCAAGTTGGGTAGACGCAGGCCTGGCAGAGTCTGGCAGAAGTAAACTCTCACAAAGTCTGGCAGTTTTCTGGTTCTGCGGTGCATTTTGAGTTTTACTGACAAAAAAAGACTAAGAAAGGACCCTCAACATGCCGTGGGGCTTGCTCTGAATTTACCATCCCTTCTTTGACTTTGAATCTGCCTTCAAAGATGCAAGCTTGGTGCCTGCAGGCCTCATAAAGCCGGTTGTTGTAACTTGCCTCAACAATTCACGCAGCAGTCCGACTTATTAGGTTGATGTGTTCCAAGAGACCCATAAACAGTTTGGATGCATGAATTTGTGCGTGGGTTTGTTGCATGAAATGTTTGGAAACCCAGGTAGCACAGGGCAGATAGCTAGCCACAAACATGCAATAGAAGTGCAATGAACTGAACTAGCTTCGGGCAGAATGGGTCTGTTGGCGCAACTGTGCGCGTGTTCATATCTTGTGCACTGGCATGCACCAGGTTTGCATCTTGACTTCTCTTTGACATTTCCTGAGGATCGCTCCTTCGGCCTTGACGAAGTAGCAAAAGCCCATGAATATTTGGAGAAGGGCCATGCAACAGGGAAAGTGTTGATTGAGATCGGAACCATCACAGAATAGCTTTATCTTCTGCACGCAACAGATCATACAGATCATCAAACAAATATATAAGTCTAAGTCGTTTCTATGACTACGTGCAAGGTTGGCCTGAAACATAGGCCTCGTTTTAGAGTTGTTTTCGCTGGGCATGGCCTCGGATTGAGGCCATTTGCCAGCGACAGACTGCAATGGTTTCTGTGTTTAAAGTGAGGGACTGCATTGCGGTGAGAAGGTCAGTCTGATCGGTCTGATGCTGACATTTGTTTGTTGTTGCCTGTTGGGTTTCGCTTCGTTGATGCCAAGCTGTGCTTCAATCCATTTGCCAATTCCGCCACAGTTTCTGCGGAATCATTCGGAATTGTATTGATATGTCTTGATGTTTGCTCCTGCCAAAGGTCCCGCGCGAGAAAGAGCGACTATCCTCAACCGCTCTCTCGATCTCCCTCTCCAGACGTGCAGTCTGAACGGAGCTGGTGCCTTGCCTGACATCTGACGATCCTGATGTATTGTCATGTGCCTGAGCTTTCTTATCGCTTGATCGCCTGCTTGTTTAAAATCTTACCTGGCACATTTGAGGGCAAATTCCCCGATTCGCAAAGAACTCAGCTGCTGTCTTTAACAGAGAGGCATTTACAAACACCAAAACCCGAAGAGACACCTTGCAGATTCCCAAGATTTTGCTCAGGCTCCCAAGACCACAATTGTCAAAGTAGGTCCTCGCCTCTGTAAGAATTTGGTTCAACTCGGTTCAACATATTCAAGACTCGACGTGAAGACATTTTCTTGACACGTTCATCTGGCATATCAAGACTCGAATTCAACCAAAAACACTTTGCTTCGCAGGACAACCACCGAAGTTGCCGCTGAGAGGCACGTGGTGTGAATTCCTGCTTTGGCACCTGGTCTCCTATTTGCATTGGTTATCATTGGTTCATATTGGATTCACATTGGTACATTTCAGTACAGCAACCCTAGATGCAAAGTCCTGTCATGTCCTGCCAGCACACTCCACAGATTCCAGATTCTCATGCGATAGGTCAGCATGAAGCTGACAGCCAGCAACACAGAAATTGTGTGAAATCTTGTTTTTTGCATCTCGATCAGACTTTGAATGGAGGCCACGGAGAAAGGGTGGGCAAGTGCTTTTAAACTTATCACACAGTGATTATGAGGCTGGGCATGTTTCGTATGCAGCATGAAATACTCATTGTGAAGGATTTGTGATGCGTTGAGGGGCAAGTGCCCCTATGTGTTTAATGTGTTTCGCACTCGCTTGTTTTGTGCCTCGTGAAGTGCAGGTTGTGGCACAGGTAGCAGAAGACCGTGGCTGGCGCGTGGTAAAGTGTGAGGAGAAGGCGTCTGGTGTTGCATGATGTAGCATGTTGTAGCCATATCTAGCTGAGAAGTGGCCAAGTTGGTTTATCTTGGTTCATTTCATTTTCTCTTGATCCTCATGGAAGGCAGCCCGCATTCCAAGCCCACAAATCCATGCTAGAAGGTTGATCACCGATATAGTATTAATATGTATAAATTATAGAGTTCTTCAGTCATTTTAAGGCCACATGGTTTTCCCTTTCCATCCTTGTTCATCCTACTTCATCCTTCCATTCCTCAACCAACTGGAGGCAGCAGTGTCCGCATCTGAGATCCCATTGAAACCCTTATGTAACTTATGTACATACCGTTGCATACCCATTCTCAGAGCTTGACTGTCATGGCTTTGCTAATTCAAGAGATTCAAGAGAGCACAGTTTGCTTTGTACGGTGAGCTAGGTGCAATGTTCATTGGATAGATGATGCCAACATTGGTGACTGGATCCGAAAGGTGCACACTTCAGGGCAAATTTATGCAAATTTCATATCCTGAGAATTCCTGAGATTCCAGTGCTTCAGTTGAGCATCTCAAATTGTCTCAAATTGAACATATTTGAAGCATTTTGAAGCAGGTGGAGCCGTGGATGCGTATCAATCACTTTCCAGGCGATGCATTTGGTGGTACTCATTGGTACTTATTGGTACTTATTGGTACTTATATAATCTTATAATATCTTATACTGTAATATTTTATATACATATATAATCTATTATAGTCTTATATAATGCTGATGGGGTCTGGGTGTTTCACACGATCACATCAGAAGAGCTTCCCGTGCTGTGCTCCAATTTGCTCTGACAACTTGCGCTGATTTACTTCTGAAGGCATGAACAATGCCCTTGCGCGGAAAACCCGGTTGGCAAGGACACGTAGCTCACCATATGGGCTATGCTGGCTACATGTTTTATATTGTTTTATATTGTTTTATCGTGTTCTAAGGTTTCATGGCGATGTAACCTGTTTCATGTGAGACATCATGGTTCGACAGGAATATGGCAAGAATCCAGCGTATGTTTCCAGCTGCATACAAATTTGTGCCGCCGACCTGGGTTGGACTCTGAGACGACTCGGAGACTTCGGAGACTGAGCTGACGACAAAGCGACTACGCTGAGCTGCCGAGGTCATCCCCGATGATTTCCCTGACTTGGAGAAGAGATTTGGTGACAACCCGGAGTCAAAGGCCAGTGACCCAGTGACCCAGTGACCCATCCTTTTTGGAACTTGGAATGTAGTGCACTGTCAGTGCACTGTTGGTTTCTGCACCAAGTGCCCCCTTGGTTTCTGCACTAAAAACCATGCAGATATCATAAACGCGGTCAAACTCCTGTCAAACGATACTCGTTTGCATCTCCAGTCTTGAAGAAAGGCGTCAGCTGCACAGTCACACTGCAGTGCGATGGAGGTCTTCTATATTGTCAAGCCAGACCACCTTTGCCAGGCTGAAATCGCTTCAACTAAGTCCAAACAGTCCAAACATACCCAAAGTGTCCTGTCACAACAAGACCTGGGCGCATCATTTTCAGACCTGCCTGCTTGCAACATATTACAACATCACTTAATCAATTTATACATTATGTTTGTTTTGTGTCTTGAAGGCAAAGTTACGTTGTCAGTCAAATTGATGATTTCATCTATCCTGGGAGACATAGATGCACAGACTCATAGAAGTAAAACTGTTGCTTGGGAGTGCATCCTCGCGCAGGGACGGGGCATATTCCTCACCACGGAACTGGAGCGTTGTGCGCTGAGCTATCAGAAAACCAGAGAAACACCTTCACAAAAGACAGGATAGACACATGTAACACATGTAGAAATACCATGAAATACCTTCACTAGTTTGGGAATCCTTGGGATACAGATGGATCATGATGGATCTTTCCGGGGACACTGGTTTTGATCCACAGCTGACAGCTGACCAACAGCACCCCAGATCCTGGAGTTGATCGAGTCTCTGGCCTCTGTCATCTCTTGTTCGGCTCAGTTCAGTGTAATGATAATCCCTTAAGCTGCACCTTGAGTTAAGGCCTGCGACAGGCTTCGGATGACAGTCGCAAGAAGAACGAGGTCCATAGATGTTCAGTCATAGCCAGTCATAGCTCGTGAAGCTGCTCCGTCACAGTCGGCGCTGACTTCCCATTGTCTCCTGGTCAATCTTGGCATATCTTGGCATTGTATGAAAATTGCAGGCCACAGTGGTTCAAAGATACCTTTCCAGGCACGATGCATCGGTGACACTGCGGGATATTTTTGTAGTCCCAACGCCTTGCATGATATCATGCTTCCAATCGTGAGTTACTGTAAATGCCCTAAAGGATGTCCTATTTCTCTAGCATATTTTTGGTTATCCAGCAGGCCTATGCTCATTGAGGGCTTAAAGTTTGACTTGCGGCTTTACTTCCTCATCGCTGCCAAAAAGGTGCGGGGGCATGAAAGTTGAAGCCTGAAATACATGAGATGGAAACTTTGCGTAAACTGCCCGTGGATATCAGTGAATAATGTTTTGAAGCTTTCATTCTATCAGAGAGATCGCTTTTTGACTGTCCCAGCCAGAAGCTATTGCAGCTATTGGACACAGGCCAGCGGTGAAAGTGGACTTGATCTCCGCTGCTTCCTTTTCCGGGATGGATTGGCTTGGGTCCAAGTTCGATCAACGATGTTCTGGCAATTCAATGCAACTGTTCTCAACTAGTGTAAACACTGGGTGGGAGTTGGCATGCAACAAATTGAGCAAGATGCCACTGCAGTGCGTGACAGCCGTTGAGGTTCGGCTTTGTACAACTCCATACCAACCACCCACGGCAGAGACAAGGCTTGGCCTAAAACACGTGCACAATCACCACTCCCAATTTTCGCTCCCTTCTCATCAAGGAACGAAAAATGCATGCATTTGACAAACTATGCTGCAGCGCTCTCAGCACAGCACCCATTTAGAACTTATTCCGTTTGCACAGAGCTTAAAGTCTACAGAGAGCAGTGACAGAGTCTGACAGAGCACCAATAACCTGTTCGCAAAGTCAGTGGTGAGTGTTTTCAGTGCCTCAAGTCACCGCTTCAAGGGTCAGGGCATTTGTCTAAGGTCAACAAAAACAGCGAGAACTTTCAGCAGAACGATGGCGAGGATGATGGAGCTGGTAGCAAACGGTCTTTAAGGTCGGGGCTGTGAACAAGCTTCTCAGTGATTGTGTGTAGTGTGTGAGATCCGAAGTTCTACATGAGGACAGAGCAGTTCAAACTTGATATTCAAAGATACACAGAGCTAATGATTCGCGGTGGCTACCAAAGAAGCTTTGCGCAAGCTATGTACAGTATATATATAGCGACGGACTGAAACTTAGAATGCCATTTTGGAACCGTACCCACTGGAAAAAGTTGCGGCAAAATCTAGAAATATGTGCTCCCGCAACTTTTGTACTGTGTTTTTTCACCAATTGGCTCTTGTAATGTTAACTTAGAATGCGTGTCAGGTCCTTTTCTATTTAGACATGCTTCGCTTGTTCTATAGAAATATGTGCTTTGTACTGTGTTTTTTCACCAATTGGCTCTTGTAATGTTAACTTAGAATGCGTGTCAGGTCTTCAACTTCAGTAGGCTATCTCAATTATTTTATATTTAATGGTTCAATTAGACGGCGGTAATACCATCATAGGAACAGAATTTATCAAACTTTTAGCAACTGGTTCATCTAACCTTGCTACTGAAGAATTCGTAAATACGGCAATCATCAATGGAGGGGGTGAAGGTGTTAATTTAAGTAACTACTATGATAAAACAGATATTTGAAAACTGAGGGCCCCTTCTAAGTTTCGATCCGGAACTATACGTATTGCCTGGGGCAACCAGGTTTACCCATCTGAAGGGTTTTTATTAAAACCTTGAATATATTCAAAAAGCTTTCAAGCCTACTGGGTTTGAAGTTGAAGGCTGAGAAGCAGCAACCGGGCGCCGAATCTCTGAACACGAGTGCAAAAACCCCTGAAATAAAAGGTATCCAAAAGAACAAGTGAAGCATGTCAAAATAGGAAAGGACCTGACACGCATTCTAAGTTAACATTACAAGAGCCAATTGGTGAAAAAACACAGTACAAAAGTTGCGGGAGCACATATTTCTATATTTTGCCGCAACTTTTTCCAGTGGGTACGGTTCCAAAATGGCATTCTAAGTTTCAGTCCGTCGCTATAAAAGGTTCAGATTTTGAGCAATTGCAAATCAACAGTGCTTCGACATTTTGAAGAAAACTATTTCGGGAATGTTGTTGCGAGGTGCAAGCTTCTTACAAATTATCTAAGCAAGACTTGAAGAGTTGAAAACTGGTCGCATTCATCCAGTTGTGCTGTTGCCTCCTCGGCTTGGCAAAATTGAAGCAGGATTTGGACCATTTTGATGCCGGAGAAGTCATGGATTTGTTTTTTCCAAAAGCTTGATAACGACCGACTTCCAGCTGGAAGCCGGAAAGTGCCGCATTTGGAGGGCATGCCACCTGGCTGATGGCTTCATATTTATATAAATATAGTAAATATAGTAAATCAGAGACAGATACGTTACTTAGAATGCCATTTTGGAACCGAAACTTAGAATGCCATTTTGGAACCGTACCCACTGGAAAAAGTAGCGGCAAAATATAGAAATATGTGCTCCCGCAACTTTTTGACTGTATTTTTTCGATAAATGGCTCTTGCAGATGTTAACTTAGAATGCGTGTCAGGTCCTTTTCTATTTTGACATGCTTCACTTGTTCTTTTGGATACCTTTGATGCAGACATTTCAGGGGTTTTTGCCCTGTTGTTCAGAGATTCGGCGCCCGGTTTTGATAAAACCCTTCAGATGGGTAAACATGGTTGCCCCAGGCAATACGTATAGTACCGGATGAAAACTTAGAAGGGCCCCCCAGTTTCCAAACCCGTGTTAGAATGGGGGTCACGGAGAAACAAATACATAAAGTGAACTTTCTTGGAACTTTAGTATTCACAAATGAATTGCCGAATTGAAAACGAATACATAAAGTGAACTTTCTTGGAACTGTAGTATTCACAAATGAATTGCCTAATTGAAAACGAATACATAAAGTGAACCTGTTTGGAACTTTAGTATTCACAAATGAATTGCCTAATTGAAAACGAATACATAAAGTGAACTTTCTTGGAACTGTAGTATTCACAAATGAATTGCCTAATTGAAAACGAATACATAAAGCTAACTTTCTTGGAACTGTAGTATTCACAAATGAATTGCTTAAATCCGCCATTCTTTCCTCCATAAATCCTCCATAAATCCTTCATAAATCCATCAGAAATCCTCCATAAATCCGCCAATTAATCTTCCATAAATCCACCATAAATCCTCCATAAATCCCTCAAAAATCCTCCATAGAGCTTCTATAAACCTTATTTTCAAGTGGCCAGGCGTATTTTCACAGAGCCGATGAACACCTGTGATCATATATGGACATTCTAAGTTTGCCAGATTTGGTCTCCAAACTACATAAGGGTGCTCAAATATGATAAACTCCTTACGGTGTGTTGGCGGCATTCTAACTCTAGTATGAAAATCTATGGGGTATAAAGCGAACATATGTTCACAGAGCCCATGAACACATATGATATTTTATGATCATATGTACACATTCTAAGTTTGCCGGATTTGGCCCCAAAACTACAGAACGGTGCTCAAAAACGATAAACTCCGTACGGTGTGCTGCCACATTCTAACTCTAGTATGAAAATCTATGGGTTATAAAATTGTCTTCTGCGGTGAGATTTTGGCCGCGGTGTCGTTCCGTAATGGCCATATGTAAATTCCAAAACGGAGTTCTAAGTTTCAATCCGTCACTATATCATGCATGAGGGGGTTGAACTAGGAACTTGGAATGCTTTGGGATATATTTCTGGTCAGTCTATAAACTGTTTGTGACATGTTTTGGCCTCAAATATTGGGAAATACTGTGGTTTTCTCACCCATGACTGGAACTTAGAATGTCACATGTGGCGGCATTCTAAGATACCCCATTTGGATGGCATTCTAAGTTCAAACCACTAAATTTTGGAAAACTGGGCTGACATTCTAAGTTCCAGTCCGTCGCTATATATATATTTATATCACCGTCTTTGGCCAGGTGGTTCATGTCGTACGTTGGCGAGACATTTGGAGAGAAGGAGAAGATGAAAAACATTGAGAAACTATAAAAAATCACATGAAGGCCCTCGCTGTGGTCATTGCAGGGTTGCTCTCGTGAAAGTTGGCAAGGAAAGACGAAAGCTCTGGCTAAAACTCATGGGTCCGAAGCCTTGGAAGCTTTGCATTTCGTGAAGATCTTGAAGTTTTATACAATTTTCTACATAATATTTGTACATAATATTTGTACACGTGTCCACTGTGAAGTCCACTGCGGAGTCTGTGCCGGGAGCTTTCCACCATTTTCATCCATTTTCCACAAAGAGTGAAGGCTGCAAAGGCTTCGACAATTTGACAAGGGCTTCCTGTTATGACCGAGAGCTTTGGCCCAGCACGTTTACACCCCTATAGCATACAACAGCATCCCACAGCATCCTACAGCCAAGTAGCTCTGTCAAAGCATAAAAAAATGCATGAGCGCTTCAGGAACACACTGAACATGAAATCATGCAATCAGAATCTTGAGTGCAGAAAAGACTCTCGAATGGTGTGCCACAATTTGCATTTTCATGAATCAAAATAACGAACAACCGGCGTAGCTGATCTTGAACAAGTCACTCAAACAGCTCGGCCAAGCCCATTGATCTGCCGACAAGCCATCCTTTCTGGCCACGAGCTGCCAGAACAAGGCTAGAATGGAATTCGGTGGAATATGTGGCTGATTGAAGCACTCTTTGCCCGTGATTCTCCGTGATTTGATTTTTCTTCAAGTCTTTGAAGCTGTAAAGTCACTGTAAAGTCTATCATAGTCTGTCAACTTTGCGTCTTTGCCTCACTTTGCATTGCTATTTTGCTTGCAGATCTTGCAGGGTTGCTGTTTGCTGTGATCCCCTCGAGAATCCACCAAGCGATCTCAGGCTGGGACTGGCAGATTGCCATGTTTTCTCGAATTCTGTGCGGCAGAACATTCAAACAAAAATATCAAAACTACTCGGGTACTCCAGGGCCCTCAACCTCTTAGCTGTTTTGTGATGTGGTTTTCAGTACTGTTTTGGGCTGCAGTACAACGCAGTCTTGAATCAAGGGCACCAACAGGTATGACAACAGGCCATGAGAAGCAAAAGTAAAAAAAGTTTCTACAAGATTTGACAGCCCAAGAATAAGCGAGCGCTCACTAGCTTCGCGGTCACGCCAACTTGAGTGGAATGGCAAAAACGCAACGATCTGCAGGGTTGGTATTATAACAAACTGTATTATAACAACGTTTTTTTGGCATTGCTATAAGATGTGCAATGCGATTGTCATACCTGCTGGCACTGCACCAAGTCTATGGGTCTCCTCATTCCTGTGCATTCTCATCATTTCTCATCATTTATCATATTTCTGATCAAAGCCGCTTTTGGCCCAGGACTGGTCACTGCAACTAAAGTTTATGGCTGCGGACCATTTGAAACTGCCTGCTGCCTGTCGGCATTGGCAGTACAAGCGTGGGGAATTAATAGTGAGCTGATCATGCTCAGAATCAGTTCAGAACATGCATTTTTCAACTGCAGATTTCAAGACTTCTTCGTGACTTCTCAAGAGTGTTGACAAGGAAAGACACGACGCACACCACGGAAAGGACATTAGATAAAGAATGAGAAAAAATGAGAAAGAAAGAAAGAAAGAAAGGAAGATCAATAAAAGACCGTATTCTTCACGTTCAACAGCCAGGTTTCTGCCCTTTGCGCGCGATCAGAGAATGCTTGGGACGCAGCATCATTCACCTCGATTCACCCAAAGTGACCGTAGATTCCAGGATTTCTTTAGACATCGTGTCGTTTCAGCCACCAATGGTGAAAGCAGTGGCTTCTTCTTGAAAGCAGCTATTTGTTTATTCTCGTTTGCCGAGAATCGCTTCTTAGTTGGAAGTCTGTAATCACGTCATGCAATCGAATCGACAAGGCCGGCCTCAGCAAAGGGCGCATGGATGTCCCTCTCTCAGTCATCTTAGCACAGAAAGCTTTCAGAAGTGTAAGACAGGAGAGGAATTCACGGCAGACACAGATTTTCCGGTTTGGAACATTAAACAAATCCTGCTTAGCAGACTGTCAGACCCAGCTGTAAGCCCTTCAACTTCTGAAAGTGTCAAACTGCAAACAGTCAAAGCACAGATTTATTTCATTTTGAAGGTATTTGCCTCTTTGTTTCTTCAGACTGAAGTTCAGCTATATAATTTCAATCAACTATCCGAACTCCCAGGATTCGATTCGGACTAGAGACACAAAGAGGCAGCGGGTGATCTTTGACGCATTTTTGTCGCAAAGCGTTCAGCAGGAAAACAACAACGAAAAGTCAAGCGATTTTATCGTCCGTCCACCACCAAGAAGGAGTTTCATACGACTCCTGAGATTCGCTGTCCCTCATGACATTTCGTATAATTCTGTTTTAGGTGGAATGGACATTTCAAGACAGGTGTCATTGTTTTACTTGGCCTTTGCAGTTTTCGATTAAACCAAATCTCAACTCAACTGCTCCATGCACTGTGCGTCAGTGTCTAGATTTCCATTCGTCCTGACGACAATGCATGGTCTGCCAGGACAAATCACACAACACACTCTGGGCTGCCACCCCTTAGCAGACAGTCCAGGCATCCTTGAGTGACTTCAGCTTGAAACAACCATGGCAACTGCGAGCGGAGTGCTGGAAATTGCCACACCCTTTAGGGACATTGCTCTGTGATGAAGGGACATAGAAAGGTTGGAATCTGTTGGAAGCCATTTAAAGTTGAAAACCCTACAGGTCACATATGTCAACAGCATCTTCAGTCCCGTCAGTGCCAGAGCCCCAGCAGCCTTAAACTTTCGTACAGTCATGGTATGTCATTGTCGGGTGCACTGGTGCATCATCCCATATCATCCCTGTGCAGTTCGACTCCTCATACCTTTGCGACAGACCGATTATTTCTCGTTGCAGCATATACGGCTATGTATTGTACATCGTTACAGATGCGTTAACTGAACTTCGCGTATGTGCAGTACATACACTAAGCATGTGTATGTACATGTATGATCATCTATGTATATGTCATATTATGTTCATAGCCATTAGTTACACCTCTGTGATACACATACACTTATACAGATGCATGCAATGCTCTGGTTACAGGGAGCTAAATAGATCCAGATACTTGGATGAAATGTATGAACCTGACATCATCCAAGTTCAAAATAGGGAGTCGAAACAGTGGCATTACGTAAGGCTGGCTCCGATGCCAACTACACGCAGCTTGAGCTCTGTTCCAGAAACGCAAGGTGCGCCTCAGTTGGATTTGGAGTTTCAGACCCTCGCAGTATTGCACGGCAGGGCTCCTGGAGAACCATTATGTCATGACCAGGGAGTTAGGTGGGCAGCTCAGAGATGACTGAGAAGACTGAGTCAATTGAATATCTTGGCATATCTTGGCATATCTTGGCATATCTTGGCATATCTTGGCATATCTTGGCATCATGAAGGTCAAACCTGGAGCTTCTGAGCAGTTGGGTTGGGTTGGTCCTGAGGTAAGGGTTCCTACGGAGTGGTATACTGTGCGCGGCACAGGACTTCCCATAAATGTCACCTTTCTGGCTTGATCCACCTTGCTTGCATGCTTCTTTTCATCTTGTCATTTTGTCGTTCCAAACACAAACTCTGATTGTACATGATTGTACATTATTAGATGATTGATGATGGTTGTGTCATGTTGTGTCCATCTGGTCAAAAGTCCATGCAGATGACTCAGGATTCTGCAGCTTTTCCAGCGCCCATCCTCCTCGTTCCAATCTAGTTGGCTATCTCTCATTGACAGGAGAAGTGGAGAACAAAGGGCTTTGAAGTCCATCCAGATCAACAAACTAGAGGACCTTGCTGCGTTGAAGTTGATTAAAGAGATCAAAACTAGGTTTTGGCAACTGAAAAGATCTGAAAAGGTGTTTGTTCTGCATTTAACCCAGCATCTCTCTGAAACTTTCTACTCGGAAGACGCCTTGCTGGAACCGTGGGATGTTCAGTGAGCATGCCGAGGAGCCAGGACATTTCAAGGATGAACTCGAGATTGCAAAGCAGTTGAATCACCCGTGCCCTGACCCGATGGTTTTTCAAGGTCTTGCATCTTGCAATGGCATCATCCTGTATTCTCCTGTCGCCTCGCTACATGTTCACCAGGTACGTTGTAAAATTGTATGAAGTTTTTCAAACAGGTGAGTGCGTGCACTTGGTCCGTGGCCCAGCTTGTGAACGAAACCTTGGCAGCTGCCTCCCAGAGCATTTGCAAGGTCATGGAACTTTGCAGTGGTGGCACTTTGGCAGACATGATGGCACGTGGGCCCAGCACCAAAGCAAGAAACCAGAAGCCGTGCGTGCTAGAGTATATTTTGTCATATTTTGACATATCTTGACTGACTAAGCACGCTTCTCTGATTTTCTCTGATTGACCTTTGCAAGGAGTCTGCCAATGCCGCTGCTGTGAAGGCAGGGCTTGGTAATGGTTGGGAGCTCGCATCTAGCCCCAGTTTTTGCCAACATTTGGATCATTCTGGATCTCAGATTGGTCAGGAAAGCGGCTTAGGAGCACGGGCCAAGTGGTCTGCAGAAGTGATTGGCAGCTTGGCAAGTCTTAGGGTTTAGCTAAGTCCTAGCAGTTTGGCAAATGAAGGAATCTCGGCGTCTTGTCATGCCTTGCAAGTCAAATAGACACTATATTATATATTATCATATATTATCTACTGTATATTTTAACTTATAACTATAACATATTGTAGCATCATATAAGTATATACAAGCTATGTATTGTTGTTATTTATTGTTTGGTCTCATTCAACGCTCGCTTGATCGAACGCGTCAGGTAGATTCATGCAAGAGCCTCAGAGGGTCGATCCTATTTTAGTGTGCCTGGGAAATCCTGCAGTGCCGGTCAAAGTCATCATGTTCATCCGTTGTTGACAGGTAAATCACTGGAACAAAAATGGTTTCCCACTGTCAGGTTAGTTAAGCTTGAGATTAGCAACAACAGCAGCTATGGGCAGTGATTCACGATATCACGGGTCTGCTGCAGGTGGCAGATGCTTTGCGGCGTGTGCTACCTGCATCACCACAGAATCATCCATCGGGATATTAAACCAGAGAACTATCTGGTTCCTCGGCACAGATGCTGTACACTCACCGAAGGTATTTTGCAAATGTTTGCAATGTGTTACATGTGCTGCTCACTTTGCCTTTTCTATGTAGGCAGGAGGCAGAGGAACCTTTCTTCGCAAACTCAGTCACACGTTGTCAGCCAGGTTCAGAGAAAGGGAGAATTGATGCTTTTGAAGCTTGCAGACTTTGGGCTTGCTTGTAATTTCAAGAAAGGCCAGTTTGAGAGAGCTTCTTTCTCTATATATATATACACATACAGTCAAGACTCAAAACATTTACAGGAGCAGCTCCCTTTTATATCGTCTAGAGAGGAAGGGAAATGAACAGCTGGCTACACCAGTACATGTGCTGACATACAAAGCATACAAAGCAACCAGGAGCGCTAGCAAAACTGTTCAAAAGCTATGCAAAGCTTGGTTGTTTTCAAAGTTGTTTTCCAATGTTTCGCAAATCGCCAGGCCGACCTTTGAAGGAGATGCTTGGGACACCATGCTACGTCGCACCTGAGGATGGGTGCAATTGATCAGATGCAGGGCAATCGTAGCGCACGATCCACATGGTACAAGCCTGCTGCATGCATCAAACATCATAAAAAGTTGTTTTGTTTTGCACAGAAAGAGCACGACTGCACAATTGCGCAGGTTCTCTTGGGAAGATATGATGAGCGTTGTGATGTGTGGAGCATCGGCGTAGTTTCCTTTGTACTATGCACAGGCGGCAGACTTAGTACTAGAAAGTCCAGAAAACAAATATATTTCTCCGATGGCATTCTGGAAGCTCAGCAGCTTTGACCTTCCAGTGCTTTACGTCCTAAGGTCATCATCCTTTTGCTTTCAGCAACGCTGACACTGCAAAGGTCAGCCAGTGATTGAGCAAAGGAAGCAGAAGCAAGGTTAGCTGCGGTCAGGTTACGGTTGCAAATCCAATAGTATTGCACGATATTGCACGATATTGCACGATATTGCACGATATTGCACGATATTGCACGATATTGCACGCCAGGTTGTCCTTCAGAGAATCAAGGCAAACGAAATGGACGCCCGGGACTGGCAAGTGAAATGCGAGTGTCTTCTCCCTTGAACAAAGGAGATGTTCCTCAGAATCAAATACTGTAAAATCACATGAAATGATGTAAGATACAACAAAATGCTTGCCGTGGAGCCTGTTTGGATTCAGATTTTGCAGGACGCTCAATGGAATGAAGTTCACGATGAGGCGGGCAGCTGCGTGGCTCCTGATGTGGGATTCACAACCCTTGCAGGCTGACGTGCTGTGACAGCCCAAATTACCGAAGTAGATCTACGTAGGTCTGACACTTGAAACGGTGGAGACTGAGTCGGTATGAAACACAGTAAGATAGCGTTTCTGCTGCTATCTCCCTGTACCCCCACGTCAGACCAGACAGAAAAGGTAGGTATGAGAAAGCATTGGACATGTCCAACTCCCAAGCATCTGATGATTTCAAAATGAACTCTGGATAGCGAAGACCTACAGTACAATAATTTTCAAAAGAGGCCGTCAAAGAATACATTGCTTTTGAATGCTTTTGATCATTCAGCTACAAAAGTACGGCTATTTGAAGAGTTTGAACGGTGAGGGGTTTTCATGCACCTTCAGCCCTTACTAGAACAAGCCCATGAATGAATCAAGTCATGCCGACTTAAACAGCTTCAAGAGCCTCTCATAGCTAACCACGCTTAGATTCCCATTTTGCCAGCTCATTGATTCCATATTCTCCGTCCGCGAGCTGTATTTTCACTGACATGTTTCTGAAACAGAAAACCTGAAATTTGTGTTGTGTTGTCTTGTTGCATTTCTTCCCTGTCATTCACTTTGCAGATCGGATGCAACATTTGATGAGGAACAAAGGACAATGTTACGGTCTCACGGGCCCACATTCAGACGGATTGGTCCAAGCCAACCAGTTGATGAGAAGTTACCGGCGCACTATGCTACAGCATGCTGCAGTGACAGGCCAGAGACCTTGTCTTCAAAATGATGCAACGAGTCACCCTTGCATGCTTGAATCACTTCAATCACATCGTGTCCAATCAAGTCATGTTTCGATTGTCGGCCATGTAACAATGTCGCAAATAGATGCAAAGAAATGACCAATGATCGCTTGTACTTGTTCTCCTCAGAGCCCGACTCTGCTTTGGTTTGCATACGTTGTGCAGGGCCCACGTGACTGATATGTGCAATATTTTACCATACTTCATATTTCTCAATTGTTTACATGTATTCCCAAACTGCATTAGGCCTTGTGGTCAGAGTTTGATGCCAGGACCCAGAAGAACGACCACGAGCAAAGCGTATCCTTGCAGGGAGCACATGGCTGCAGCAGTTCGATGTACCCGACAGGCGGGGGCGATGAGGCATCGTATTCCTCCGATGAATTAAAACAATTTAAAACATATGAGCACATCCGGAGAAGCAAAAACAAAAACCTGCAACACATGCAACACATGGACATTGTCGACATATGTCGACATCGTTTTTTAAACATGACACATATATACACATATGACACACAATCACAGCATATACGTAGCATATCACAGCACTTGCACAAGTCGGTTGACTCCTGCAACTGGAAGGTCAGAGTCGGTGCAGAGAAACAATGGCTGCTGCGTTGTCAGCTAGACAGGCTAGACATGGATCCAAAGGATTCCGGAATCCCAGGAATGTACAGCCCTCGGCACAATGCTTGATGGGCTAAAGACTGCCAAAGGACCCAGCGTTGCAGGCCCTGAATTTCCTTGGTTTATTCCATTATTCCAGCATCAGTTAGTCCAGAAAGTGGAAAAAGGGTCAAGCAGTCAATGGTCCACTGACCATTCATGCATTGGGGTATCAAATTCGTGCAGAAGAAACTGGACTTCAAAACGATGTGTCCATTTTATGCCTTTCCTCGGGTGCCCGTTGCGTGTAGCTTTGCCGTGGAAGCTAAGTGGGGGAAGTGAACGATCTCAGGCTGATGTTAAAAGCCTGTTATCCAAAGTTGGACATGTCAAACGCTATTCAAATCTATTCAAGATGCAGCAGAGAAGGGTGCGATTACAAGCTAGTTGCATCAGAGTTTGGTGAGAGTTCCTTTAGAGGTGGTGACCATTTTAGTTTGCGCTGCCAATTGCAGTAGCTCAATGCTTCTGTTCTATCTGGGCTTTTAAAGCAAGAATTTCTGACACAAATATCAAGGAATTTCATGGAATTTATGACTATTTATGCATTATGGTCAATTATGATCAATTATGATCAATTATGATCAATTATGGTCCTTGAAGGACGAGGAGTTCGAGCTGGGGAAACGAGAGTTTCACTTCAAAGCAATGACTTTCCCGGAAAGCTTCACCGCGTATGGACATCCCTGCATTGCCTTAGCGCGCTCGTTCCGCCGCTGGATTTCTCGTTGCACTAAGCAGTTTCTTCGAAGGAGAGCCTGCCATGTGCAAGAAAAATGTTTGATGTAGGAGACTGGAGTCTCATAGGGTTGCTTCTGGTATGCAACTTTCCACTGTAGCAGCTCATGATCATTGTGGAACCACGGTCCCTTTTCTTACCATGCAGGGAAATTCATTGCAACAAGCTCCAAGGAGAAATTGTTCACCATGAAAAGATATGAAACACTTGCCTTGGCTTGTCAATTGGCATACAAGCTGAGTGCCAAGCCCATCGTAGTCCACCCAAAAAAGTACCTGTAACGTCCTCCGACCATCTCTGACACGACTTGCATGTTACTCCTGTTGCAGTGTTCCAGAAGCGTCCCGACTTTTGATGGCCATGGGAGTAGTTAAGTGCGCGCATACTTCACGCGGCCACTAGCGACTAAGCCAGCTGTTGCAGAGCATTTGACACGCAGCTTTGAGCTGAAAGTTGCGACTTGAACGAGCCTGGAGTTTGAGCACATTTGAGCATTCGCCGGGCTTGACATTTGTGAATTGCAGATGATTGCAGTCATGTAAGCAAAGTCTTTTCTAAGGTTATCATTCGGAATATATCCGCAAATAACCGCAAATATATTCGCACATATATTCGCAATGTATTCGCAGTGAAGCCTTTTTTTGACAACGTGCTAGACCCGGGGAGGTCTGTGCATGAAGACCGTGCTCATGGTCAAACCAACTTTAGAGGCCGCAAGAGCCAAGACTCTTGATCTTGGGACTTTGTCACTTTGTCGTGATGCCTTGGAATGATGTAGTTGCATTGGATAAAATCTGTCAGTGAATGTGATTTCTGGATTCAGACCGAGTACGATGGAGCATTTCCTCGAGACCTGACTGGAGGGCAGATGGGTTGCAGGCCATTTTGACATGTAGGATGACTAGTGATGACTGACATCGACAACACAAAGGGTGACCCGATTCAGCACTTGTTAGTCAGCTTGCTACTGGCACGTTTCTCAGTCTACTATCCGAAACAGAGCATCATGTTTGAAGTTTTTGATGATTGTTGATGAGGTGTTTCGAGTTGTTGGGCATTGATGTTATGCTTGACGCAAAGATGAAGCCATATTTGATTGAGGCCGGCTCGCTGCTGTGAATCCAACCCAAAAATCAAAGATGCAAAATCTGGGATAGTTATAAATATATATATATATATTATAGTTCTTGAAAGATCTGAAATGCCTCGAGGGCCAAGCCTTTGCAGGTGAATCACCTCCCCAGTTTTACCTGTGACTCGCCTTTGGACGAAGATATCAAGCAGTCCAGGACTTAGAGCAGACAGTAGCATGACAGTAGCATGACAGTAGCATGACAGTAGCATGACAGTAGCATGACAGTAGCATGACAGTAGCATGACAGTAGCATGACAGTAGCGTCGTGAAGTGACACAGTGACGCCATCTTGGAAGATCACAGATCATGGTGGCAATGGCAATGATTTATGGACAACCTTCTCCATGAGCATGATCACTACGTCATCATTGTGCAACGTCGATATAATATTTCAGCTGGGAATGTGTGAAAGTGCAGTGAGGTTTAACATTTCTGATGTTCCAAGATGTTCCAAGATGTTTGAAACGCACTCGGCATCTTTCACTGCCATCTTCATCGCAACAATATCGTCATGGTGGCCATCATCATCATCATCATCATCATCATCATTGTGGCCATCATCATTGTAGTCATCATCATGGTCGTTGCTCTTGTTGCCTCCAGTTGTTTGGGTTGTCATCTTGCCATTGGTAGGGCTGGTGGGGTGGCTGCAGCGGGCATGCCATTATCGTTTTTCCCGAATGCGTAGCAAGGGTTCCCGTTTCACTCTGGGGTTCTGGGGGCTGAGGCTGTGTTCGCCAGATGTCGCGCAACCGTCCGCAACCGTTCGCAAGCGGTCGCGTGAGCCCCGTATGGCCGTGCCAATGGCGAGTTCTGCAACAGTGGTCACTTTTGGAGGTTTCCAATGCCGCATAGCCTCATTTTGCGTGGCAGGCGTGGCACACTGTGACATTCCAACATGTTTCATAACGTGTCACAAGTCGTTTTGTGTGGCAGGCGCAATACTTTTGCGACGTTTTCAGAAGATGCGTTCCGGTTTTCGTGGCAGGCGCAGCACTTTGGCGACATCCATCGTCATTTCGCGTGGCAGGCACAACACTTTAGACGTGTCGTGTTGCGTGTTTTTGCCAAATCGCTTTGTCAGGGCTGCGTCAAATGGCGACAAGGTGCAAATTGCATGGTGGGCGTAGCATTTTGTGAGATGTGCAGAACATGGATGGAAGCCTCGCGCGAAACATCGATTTTTAGGTTGCAAATTTTCATGTTCTAAGGAAAACTCGTAGGAAAACGTTGCTTTTGAAGCTATACAGTGTGAAAATTGGAGGAGGTCTCGCACGAAATGCTCGTTTTGATGCTCCACCATTTCTCGTCTCGAGTCTCTGGTGTTCCTCTGGCCTCGCCGTGTCTATGGGAGAAGTTGCATAACCTAACCTGTTTCACGGTGTCAAAGCAAGTTGTAATGTCGTTTTGCATGGCAGGCGTGGCACTTCGTGACGTTCTCACGTGTCTGCAGACGTGTCGAAAATTTCTTTTGTGTGACAGGTGCGATACTTTTGCAAGGTTTTCAACAGATGAGTTGCATTTGTCGTGGCAGGCACAGCACTCTGGAGACCTCCATCGTCATTTTGCGTGGCAGGTGCAGCACTTCAGACGTGTGGCGTTGCGTGCTCTACACTCTACACTCTCCACACTTTACACTCCACACTTTACACTCCGCGCTCTACACTTTACACTCCACACTCCACACTTTACACTTTACACCCTTCACTTTACACTCCACACGTTACACTTTACACTCTATACTCTACACTCCGCACTCTACTCTCCACACTCTACACTCAACACTTTACACTTTAGTCTTTACACTGCGCACTTTACACTCCACACTCTGCACCCCACCCTCTTCCGCATTCCACAGTCTACAGCGCACTGGTAACAGGGGAAAAAATGTACAAGACTGTTCACATAACTTGTTTCACAAAAGTGTTCTACATGACTTGCTTCGGGTTCGTGGGCTGCATCTTGTTTTTTTGCCTCAGCTCCTGCAACGTATCCAAAATGTGGCTCGCGCTTGCACCCCTAAGATCATGGACCTTGCAGCTGGAGAAAAAATTAAGTATTCTAGACATCCTTGATGTGCGGAGCAATCTGGCACTGTTTGTCACATCTTCTGGAATCTTTCTGATGAGCAAGTTTTCGGAAGTTCTTCATTTATATACTTCCTTTTGCCGGACCTCCATTGTTTTGCGCTCAAATGCGTAGTGTTTGGGATCAGACTGAGTGGAGGTGAGATGCAAGTCAGCAAGATGTGCAAAAAAGACTTGGAATTCTCAAAAAGAGACTCATTGTAGGGCTTCGCACACCGGCGATGCCCCAAGGAAGGGTCCAGTTGTGGTTGTTGTGGTTGTTGTGGTTGTTGTGGTTGTTGTGGTTGTTGTGGTTGTTGTGGTTACTCTGGTTGTTGTGGTTACTGTGGTTGTTGTGGTTGTGGTTGTGGTTGTGGTGGTTGTGGTTGTGGTTGTGGTTGTGGTTGTGGTTGTGGTTGTGGTGGTTGTGGTTGTGGTTGTGGTTGTTGTTGTTGTTGTCGTTGTCGTTGTCGTTGTCGTTGTCGTTGTCGTTGTGCATTTTGTGACCATCTGAAAACACATCAGAAAACACATCTGTTTTATTCATTTGTCAATGTGTAGTGCCAAAACATGGAGTCAAATAGGTGTTGTTTTCACGTTTTTCGAAGACTCTCGGAGCAAAACACACCGTATTTACATGTATTTACAGTGTTTGGACGGCAACTGGCAAAAACACGGGTATTTACGCAATTTTCAGCATGTTGCAGGGTTTCTCCGTCCCAAAGGCACACAAACACTGTAATTAGGTGTTGAGGTAGAGGTTGAGTTGTTGAGCAGTTGTTTAGTGTTTCCTTTGGTATCCTTTGGTCATGGAGGTATTGACTGTAGAAACATTTGCTGTTTTGGGGTCAGCAATTTGCTTGGCTTCGCTCAGAAAGAGTGACTTCAGGCGCTTGGTCAAACAAACCCTTGACCTGACCTGTGGGTCGTTGTCGAGCAAGGAGATTCTGCTGACAGATTCGACAGAGATCGAATAATTGTGTTTTCCTTACCATACTCTTGACTCAGAGGACAAAAGAATGTACGAGCAACTCGTCCGGGAGAGGAAAGAGGTAGCTCAGCTGCATAGTGCCAAAGACCAGGGTCTTTTAGTGTTTCCATAATTTGGATTTCATATATATAGAGGACTGATAAGGCATATACATAAGGTGACCCGTGGTTTCCGGCCGAGCGTTTCACGAAGCATTCAAAGCGTGCAGGTTGGCCAGGCCACCAGTGCTGAACTAAGTGGTTGATGTGCTGATGTTTTCGCAGTAGCAAGTCTAAGTGTAGTCTGTTCAGATTTGAAGGCCTCAGAAGAACAAACACTGCAAAGGAACAAAGTATGCAGATGCAAGTAAATACAACTACCGTAGATGGACGATGAAATCAAACCCCTGCTGTATTGTTGTCCCCTGCATCCCCAAATTTCAATGTTGCCTTTGGGCTGCCCGCTTCGGGCCGGTGGACAAAGAATCAAACCCTTACGCAGCGGAAACAATATACAGCTTTGTGCAACATTGAACTTTGGGGCCTGGGGTTTTATTTGGTAGGCGTCTGTAGTTTTTTTTGTCCATCAACTGTAGGTACACATCGACACTAGTTGTTGTCATTATGATTATTGCAAACTGATACGATACAAGTACATGCAAGTACAAGATGCAAGTAGACGCGAAAGTTTCACTGAATCTAAGACAATGTTTGACCGACGTAATTTACAAGCAGTACTAGTATGTGTTTTGATTTGTGCCCGTAGCCCCAGTGTGCAGGTTTGTCCGATGTTTTTATCCTGACATGTGAGCAATGAGGTGAAGTTCCTCGCACCAATTGGGAGGTGAGATTGCAGACTCTTACTGTTGCACAATTTCCTTTGAGCTGCAGAGTGTCAAAGTGTAAAGCATTGTAGCACCACAGAAAAAGAAACACACCTGAGGACATGTGTCATGAATTTGCCATATGGGACACTGAAGAGTGATGAAGAGTGTAGGCATTTGAAAAAGACTACCAATGGTCATGGTGCATAGAATAGAGCAGCCAGAGCAGACCATAAAGGGAAAGCCTGCTGAAAGACTTTGTCGCATCTTGGGACTGCTGCCGCCAGCGTCAAAGATAGGCCCAGGCAGGCAATGCTTCATGAATCAGGCCGTTAATCTCATGATAAACCCGTGAAATTGGGGATCTTTGGCCACGCAGGTTGATCTCAAAAGCTTACCGCAGGAACAACCAAAAGATTCACACTGTCAAAGCACTAAAGCTGCTTCGTTCTTAAAAGACATCAAAAGTCATTGTCAAATTTGTCAAGCCAAGACTAGATCGGATTTTTCTGAGCTGCGGCATTGACCTCGCCACTTTTGAATGTGATGAATATGTTTCCTCGACGTGACCAAGCTGCACTTGCAGCAGAGAAATGCAGAGAACACATAGGAAGTCCACGTTAAGGTTGTCGCGTTCATCCACGTTCGATATGCAGCCTCAATGACTTACTCTGAAATTCCATATGAAAGGACACCAAAGATAATCCAAAGATTGAGAAAATACAATAGGCAAAAGCCCAGGCATTATCGATTCTTGGACCTGCTTAAATAAGGAGATTTCTCAAGATGCAGCCGGGTGAGTCTGGCCATGCTTCTGTGCGTCTTTGCCCTGTGGCTGCAGAGAGACATCCTCCTTTCACATCGCGTGCCATGGATATTGCATTGTGACACCTGCTCCTCTCTGGCATCCTTGTTCCTTTTTATGCTTGATACTAAAACAGAGGAAGCAGCAGCTTGCCCAGCTTTGCTGAATAGATCAGATCACCATCCAAACTAGTATAGATAATGATAGATACTTGTATTGAGTAAAGCGTTGCGATCCGTAGTCTTGTGAGTTATGTATGACATGGGTAAATGGCTTCCCCACTTTGCATGAACAGACAATTCATGAGCTTGAGGACAAAGTTGTTGTGTGGAAATGATTCAAAACGTCCAAAAGGATCACGGGTCCCAGACACTACTTGTAGCCTCGCAGACAATCCTGTGCAACTTTCTGTCTCGCAACAACCCGAAGTTTCAGGAGCCTCCCATCGCGCTCCTGCTGTTGCTTCTGAGGTTTCTAGAAACGCCTTTTGCCAACTGGAACATTTCAAGCCCAATATCTTCCGAGGCTTAGCGTTTGCCAAAGGGTTTCTGTTGCAGAGTTGTGACATTAGTTCTATTTTCATTCTCAGCAGAGACTCTGCTGTTTGGAGGGTCTCTATCACTAGTTTGGAATGTGCAGAAAAAGCAACTGGTCAGGAAGGCAATGCTGTAATTACAGGACTATCATCCATGATTATCTGAGATTACAGTGCAGCATAGTGCAGGATAGTGCAGCATAGTGCAGGATAGTGCAGCATGGTCATCTAGAGCCCGTAATGTGGCGTTCTTTTTTGAGAGGCTCTGTCACGCGATGCGCGCATCCCGATGAATCTGGGCCACAAGTAGACAGGAGTTGACAGGATTTCCCGTCAGTGAATATCATATCATAGCCTGGCCTTAGATTCTTGAATATTGTTGATATATTGTTGATATATTGTTGATATATTGTTGATATATTGTTGATATATTGTTGATATATCTTACGACATTCTATAAAAGGGTATTATTGGGAAATCAAGAGCTCACTTGTACTTGTTGCTGGCTCTTCCCTTGCTGGCCAATGACCACAACTCTTGGAAATGTTAAGGAGCAGCACACACCATCAGAGCCAAGCGAGCTGACGAGGTTGTCCGAATGTTTTCACATTCTTGGACGATTTCGGGGGTTGATTTCAGGGGTTCTTGCAGAATTCGAGGCGCTAGGAACTGTTGGTATTTATCACACGTATATACATCACCTCATCTAAGATATCTTGAAGCATCTTGCAGCACGGGAAAGTGAGGAAGGGCCAATGCAGTAGAGGGTCTTGGGCAGTTAGTTGTCCTGCCTACATCAATGCCAAAGTTGAAACGTTCGACACAGGGGTTTCGGCCTGAATGTTGCATTTTTTGACAATCTAGATGTCATCTGCAGTAATCAATGGAAATATGTATATTAATAATTATATATATATATTATAGTATTGAACAATAATGTTGAACATGATATGAAAATACTGTAGATGCATGGTCATTGATTATGTCACTCTGAATCAGTCATCGACGTTGTATAATTAGGAGGGATTAAGCATCTTTGGATACATCTATGACTTCATCTATGCACATGTTCTTACATTTATACGCATGTATTTGAGGCTGTCTCCAGAAGCTCTCTTTAAAACTTGCCACACCATGGATTACCATTGCAATCCATTGCAATCCATTGCAATCCATTGCAATCCATTGCAATCCATCGTAGACATATACTGTATGATGTGTATGATTATGTATCTGAATATATCATTATATATCATATATCTGCATAATCCTACACGACAATCTGATAACATAAAATACATACATGTGTATATACATATATAATATAAGTACATACAGATACATATGTGTGTGCATATCTATCTATCTATCTATCTATCTATCTAATCCTATCTATCTATCTATCTATCTAATCCTATCTATCTAATCCTATCTATCTATCTATCTATCTATCTATATATAATTGCACATATTCACATGCACTACAGGCAAGCATGTATCAGGTTTTCTGTCGCCTTTCAGGGGTATTCAAGTGAGACGAACCACAAAGCAAGACTTGCAGACTGCAGGAATGGAACTGGGATTAAAACGAAAAGACATTGTGCGTTTCTTTAAACTTTAAACTATCACATTCTGCCTTGGTGTCAGGCAGTCTTCAAGTTCAGAGGCCCAGGATCGAGACTGAGTACATGAGAGTGCACAATTCCAAAGCGACACAGTGATCAACCATGCATGCTGTCTTGTCAGATGCATTAAGATAAGTTGATCCGAAGCATTTCTTGAAGTATATACATGTTCCACATTGTTTCGCAAGGCGGGTCGCAGATACGACTTCGAAGAATATAGAGGAGTTTACCGCAGGTTGTATCCTCGTTGACTTTCAAGAGCAGAATGCAGACTGGAGTCCAGTAAATGTGCCACGTATTGTATCTCCCGACGCATGTGTCCAATTTTGTTCAGCGGAAGTTTCCACTCTCAGGTTAATCAGCGACGAATCCTGGCCACGGGTTCTGCGCAACTTTGAAGAACAAGACATGTTCTATCAGCGTTGCGTCAGCATTGCGTCAGAAGTAGGCAGTCGGTGGCAGTAGCACAGACCTCCAAGGCATTGTAGTTGTTGGACCTAGTGGAGAGACATTTCGTCGTGATGTGCAGGACGTTGGGTGGTCACCGATTTGATGCCTTTGATGTCTTGACCAAATGAAATTGAAATGTGATTTTAAAGGATTTAACTGATGGTCTAGGTTGATGATTTTGCACTTGCAGGGCTCATTGAACCGACATTGACTCAGAGAAGACCTAGAGACCTGCATATAATGTCATACAGTTCGATTCATTGGCAGCATCACATTGTATCATTCTGCTTCATTTGCATGTTGTTATATGAACCATGGCGAATTCGTACACATCCCATCATCCTCAACAGAAAACTTGCCACACTATTCTAAAGCGAAGCAAGCACATGCTCGTAGGTGTCGTTTGATTTTCTCACAGACATCTTTGTTTGATACTTGTGATAAACAAACCGCTGAAAAGGAAGCACAGAGATGTTGTTTCCCTTGCCCTGCATTTTCTTCGCTTCTTCGTCTTCTTCTTGTTCTTCCTTTTCCTCCTCTTCTTTCCTTCCTCCTTTCCTCGTTTTTCCTGCCCCTTCTTTCCCTCCTCTTATTCATATTCCTTTCCTTTGTTCTGCTGCAGTTCAACGCAATAAAACCAATGAATGCTTGGATTCCCATTTGCACAGTGTCACGCGTTTTCCCATGTATATATTTTCCTTCTTTGCATTTGTGAGCTAGTTCAGATATGTTCAGACTAGTGTTTGAAAACCCAACTGCTCATAACGACCCTGCATTTTGGTGGGGTATGGGGCCGGTGTGGTTGCAGAGTGAGTATGCAGAATCCAATGTGATGCGCATGGGCAAAACGCAGTTCCGTACAATTGCAGTGTTTCACACATGCACCCACCGACACTCGTTCCATGCTTTCTGACAGTTTTTCTTCGGGAGATTCATACTCTGGGGGGAGACCAACGGTATATAAATAACGGTAAAGATTATCTTGGCACAGATGAAGCCAATCGGTGCGTATAGGATGCACTTCATCCTATGATATTCTATGTCATTCGATCAGATTCTATCAGATCCTGAGCAAAGCTTTGAATTTTAAAAATGGCAGGAATCCGTCTTCAAGGTGCTCGGCTGGGATCCGATCACAGTGACTGCCACTTGTTCCAAAAAGGCCCGCAAAGATCCGCAAAGGTTGTACCAAGTTGTACGTACCAAGTTGTCCTTAGCTTGTAGATGATTGCAGTAAGGCTGAGATGCTCAGATTTATCCGCTAAGGTAGATGAGCGGACTCGCTGGCAGTCTGTCAAGCTGGATGTCCGTGGGATGCCAAGAAAAATGTGGAATGAAGAGATTTCAAAGATTCTTTACTATTCATGCACTATGCTCAGAAATGTTCAGAATTTGGAATTCCATGGAATTCAATCTTCATTATCTTCATTTAGTTTCGGATGTTTCCACCATGGAATTCCACCAGGTTTCATAACTCCAGATGATTTTTGTGCTTTGCACAGTGCCTTGGCGATGTGCTTTGAAGATTTTGGAAACAGAATGTCATCCGATATCGAGCAGCGCGGTCGTGTGCGTTGAGCATCGTTCTAGTTGTTCCAAATCGAAACATCAAAAAATTAGTTGATTCATCTTCATTTGTGGAAGATTGGCTATAGTAGCACTTCATGAACGATGACAATGATGCGCCAACGACATGAAAATCGAACCCGGAAACATACGAAAGTCCAATCCTGAAGCCTATCATCACGGACCGGAGATCCTGAAGGAAGCATGCACCTTTCAACCTCTTTTGAAAGTTATCGCTGATCGGATATGTCCCCACCATTTTTTTTCAGATGTCCTCTATTCATGACTGAATAGCCTATGTTTGGCCTCACTTCCTGCTCCGGCTTTGTGTTGTGTTTTTCTTGGATTGATGAATTTGGTCTACTCTGTGCGTTCTTTGTCTTCTTTCCTGGCTCAAAAGAATTGATGTGTCATTCTTTCTTTTAAGCTTTCTGTTTGTTTGGGAAAGTTGTGTTTTCCATTTCTATGACAATTTTCTTCATCGTTCAATAGTCTGCTTCGTCCGCTGGCTGAGGCGATTTGCAGACAATTCAAGGTGTACAGTCAGTACTGTGAGTCCCGCCTCTAGAGTGGCCTGCGGGTTCAACTTGCTGGAGATCCACGGCAAAAAGTAAAGTTTGAGGAGCACTCAAAGGGGGCACATTCTTAGATGGACTGCGTTGCTTTCTGACAAGGATGGCTTGGTATCTCAAATGCTTGATGCCAATCTTTGAATGGTTTGGGTGCACCAAATCACATGTCCTTATGGGATTTGCAAGGCAATTTTCGGTGCATTCCGCGCCTGAAGCACCTTTGTATAGAGTTGTCCAAGACCAGCAGCCGTTGAAAAAGCATGACGTCAGACCCAGCTGAATGCCAAACAAGGAAGTCGCCACTATTTTGGGATTACACAACTAGCATATTCTACTTATACATGCCTAATATAATTAGTAGTATCCCGAAGTGTCATGCAGTCGAAGCAGAGCTGTGAGCCACTGAAACATGTCATAGATTGTGCTGTAAGGCCGATGGTGTGTCAGCTCTTTAAATTGAGGTAAAGCTTGGGCTGCTAGAAATTGCCTGCGTGCCTCTGGAGGTCGACACCAGCATGCTTGACTTGCCCATCTACAAGGACGCAGTGGAGCAAGTGTAGTAACACTGCAGGGCGGAATTGACAAACATGCTCAAATTATCTCATTCATGACATTTTGACATTTTGTGGCACACGTCACATAAATCGATCGCTGTCCGCACTGTTTTTGGCTTGAGCGTGGCGAGCACAGTTTTGAAGCCCAGAGCAGAACTTGATCCTGGAGCCAACGATAGGCTGCCACTTACATTGGATATTTCAAGATGGTTGGATGGTTTGGATGGATTTGCTGCTGTTTGCCGATACTAAGGGCAGAGTCACTGAGATATGCTCAACTTGAGGTCATGGCCCCCAAGACCAGTCCCACTGCATACGACCGGGCCCGGAAGGAGCGCGAAACGGAGTGAACATTAATGAACTAATGAACATTAAAAAGAACATGGCTTGAATGTGCTTGAACATTGTTTACACTTTGTTGTTCATGTTACAGTATCCGTGCTCTCAGCTTTTCAGCTGGTCAGGCTTACAGTTCGCTTCAGAAGGAGCGGTTAAAGGCTGACTGTAAGGACAGACTGTTGCCCAGCAAGAGGGACGGCTTTCTGTTCTTTGCAAGTCCCTGAAAGGTTGTTTTGGGTTTGTGGCGCTGATGATTCGAGGATTATTTGCCAAATGTCTTGCTCGCTGGCGGAAGAGCCGTAAAGAAGGAGGTGCAGTGCAAAGACTGTGAATGTGGGACTTCTGAGTGGGGAAAAGATTGAAAAGATATGAAAAGATTGAAAAGGCATCCAATGGTATCCATGAAATTCCATGAGCACGGTGGTGTCCTCTGGAAAGGCCGTGGCTGCTTCTCCGAAGGATGCAGAGGCCAGGGATGGTGGCTGGGTCACCTTGTGATATATTCGATTTCTTGCAGCATTCAGGCGAAGTTTAAAATGCGCACAGCGGATGTTTGATACTTCCGAGAGTCTTAGACAGGTAGTTCAAACTTAGTTTTCCCTGTGCGTGCAGTTACATATACGACTGACACATACTTCCTCCCTATGCATGCACACTTCCTTTAGGAGGTCATAATTCCTCTTCTGGTTCTACTCTTCTTTTCGCTTCTTTCCTGTAGTGCAGTGTTGCTTTCCACTGCTCGATTTGGTGATATTAGTCTGATCGATCCGCTCAAAAAGTTGCCCTTTGAATTCTCGCCAGTCATATGGTACTTGCATGTACTTGCCAGGGTATACTCTTTTCTCATTTTTTTCCATGTGTCTCTTCCGTTGCTTCTCATGCGGTGTTCTCCCGTCTCGTTTGGCAATTCAAGTATTGCATGGCCATCAACACACGTGCAATCCTGCAATAGCTTCCAGCTCAGCACGCCGAGGCAATCAAGAAACTATTTCCAAACACCTCTGCCTGGCTCTTGGCCGCCTCCATGTTGCAACATGTAGTCAATGTAGTTGCAATAAAGACAAGTACATGAGAGCTTCGCAGACACTAGAAAATTTCAACCAGATCATTGGCAAACTATTGGAATAGTGGTTCCCCCCTTGATTCCATTTTGTCAGCTCCGACCTGCTTTGTAGATCTTTTGGTTCATGATTCCTGTTTCATTTTCTTTGTTAGGGCATTCCTCTGGTGGAGTTTGAAGCTGGAGCCGCATGCATAGACAAGGCACCTGCTTGACGGGCTGTTCGTTTTACTGTTGCTGTGCAGGGACTATGACATTTCTTATCATTTCTTTGCAGGACCCCGTGAAGGTTGGCGTCGTGCTGTCGGGTGGTCAAGTTCGAGCCTTTGAAGAAAATTTCTTACCAATGGTTTCCTGTACAAAGCATTACGAAGCATTATACGAAGCATAAGAAATTATTGAAAAGCATTAGCTTGTTTCCAGCACGATACATTTCTTGCATTTTCTTTCATTGTTTTTCCCATTCTTTCCATATTCAAAGTTGCGGATGTTTCGAATGGCAGTGCTACGAGGCTCCTGGCGGCCACAACGTCATCGCTGGCATTTTTGATGGCATCAAGGCATGGAACGAGGCGCGTCGCTACATGGACTTCTCCGTGGGTGTTGAACATATTTGAGAACATACAGTATTTCCATAATTTTCCATGATTTTTGACTGTTTGTGCTTGTGCTTGAATAGTGTTTCGGGTAGCTGACATTTTGATAGTTTTTTGACATCTACGTGTTGCAATTCGACGCAATAGAGTTTCAATAGAGTCAAAAGAAACTCAGACCGAGCTGCCCGCTGCCCTGTGAGAACTCGACCATGTACGGATTCCTGGATGGACCTCATGGGGTTTTTGCTGGCAACTTCGTTGTCATTACCGATGAGATCATGGATGGCTTTCGCAATACAGGTGCGGCTCCTGACTGCTCCTGGAATCTGCTGGGCATTTGCACTTTACATATCTTTACAATTCTTTACATATTAAAGGCAGATAATCTTTATCTTAATCTTTAAATTACATTAAATTACTGTACATCGTAAATTACATGGCAAATTGAGTGCAATGTTCTGACAGGAACATTTCATGACATTGCTGTAACGCAGGTTATACGCAGGTTGTTTGATGTTTCTTGATCCTTTCACAGGTTTTCTTGGTGTTTTTCCCAATGGACATAATCAGGTGGCTTCGACATGCTGGGCAGTGGGCGGCACAAGATCGAGACAGAGGAGAGATGTCTTGGAGATGTTTGCACCACGTTTTGCCCGTCGAAAGTCTTGCCAGCCTGGGATGCTGTATCTGTGCACCGTGCACTATCCGATCACTATCCAGGTCCTTGTCACAACAAGACAGCACAAGGCAAACGAACCAACAAAACAATGCTTCGATATCGACACGATTCGATTCAGCCCCGGACTCGAGCTTTAATCAAGCAATGCGCTGTGAAGAAATGTACAGGAGCAATTCCGAGACTCTATGACAGTCGGCTTCACAGTTCGAGCAAACTGCTTGCTGTCATGGCAACTATGAGAAATGCAGGGATGCAGTGAGAGAGTGCTTTGCACCATTGGCTTTGGGTCGTTATCAGTTGAGCATTGTTCACGTCGGTAAATGAAATTGAAGCTTCTGCCATGTGCATGCACAAACTTTTTTCCAGAACTGGTTTGAGCAAATTTTGACATGCATGATAGTGTTTAGTATCATTACGTACCTATCATCTAGATACATGGTCATGCATGTCACACAGTCAAACTTTTGAACTCGGATGTTCCCTGACGTTCTCTGAGCTTCAGGTGTGCAATGCCATAGGCCTTGATGGTTTGGTCGTCATCGGCGGAGATGCAACTCAGCACAAATCAGAGCTGGGAAAGATCATCAAAGAGAAACGATCATCGGGAGAATCACACTGACTACGTGGGGCATGCGTGACAAACTCAAAATACATGCAGGCGCACGACTGCAGTTCCAACCATTGTAGACGATCGAATCTCTCTTTGAGGGGTTGAACATTATATTTTGTTTCAGAACATTTCAGGACCATTTTTGCTTGATTTGGGTTTCCACAACAAGTTCCAATGCACGTGCCAATAGGCGGCGGCCGTAGACATGTCATACGAAAGAGCTCAAAATCCTCAAACTGTTCATGTACTCAAACATGTGTACAGTACACGGCGCGGGTTTGAATATCCACAAAGTATCAAGAAGTCAAAGTTTCATTTTTTTGTAGGTTGGACTTCTCCAAGTAAATTAATTGGTGACTGACATATCTATCATACCTGCTAGTGCTAGCAAAAAAAGACTATATATAGTTGTGGGAATGAGATCCCAAACAAAGTGAGTTCCATGACGAACTAGCAGGCACCAGCATGAATACTTGAAGAATTATGGGATATTAGATATATACAATCAATGGATATGTTGGATTGGTTTCAACCTGAAGCGATCCCCTCTAAGAGTTTCGACTTCACCCAGCCCCCAAGGACTCAAACACCAACGGCGCAGTTTTGGCGGAGTACTTCAAGGCATCAAACGGTGGAGCCTTATGAATGGTTACAGATCTCTAACATGAATTTGAAATGGAAGATGAGCACCAGGCAAATGGCTGCAAGACGAAGGTGATCGGTGCTCCCAAGACCATTGATGGAGATCTGAAGTGCCTCATGTTGGATTATTTTGTGTCCTTTTTGTCTCCTTTGTTGTGTTCTCCAAAGGAGACACATGCAGCAATCACTGGTCCGTGTTGCACAAACCTGCACAATGTTCTGATTATTTCTTGTTGTTCACCGTGCTCAAAGGTGCCCACCACACTTGCCTGTGTCGTTTGGCTTCGACACAGCCTGCAAGACCTACGCGACATTGGTAGGCCGACGGATTTCGCCAGTCTTCAGATGGTCCGGCACACTTTGGCATGGGCTTTTCACATTGCTTTTTGATGCTTTTTGTGTTGCAGTGTTGGTCGATGCTGATATGCTGTTGACTTGTTCAGAAGATTCTAAGGGTATGCAAAATGAGGCAATGTCGCAGTCGACGCACTCAGTGCCCAGAAGTGCGCCAATACATGAGAGTGCGAGCATGATGATTTTGCTCGTTGCTCAGCAAGCTTGGTTGCGATGTGATTGTAGTTACATGAGACCGCAGAAGAGGTATTACCACCTGGTCCGTTTGATGGGGCGTTCAGCCTCCAACATTGCCTTGGAAGTGGTATGTTGCTCAGCCTTGCTGGAAATGGACACAGCAAGCTCCAATCCATTTATCTTTGGCGGGCGGTTGACGCTGGTTGACACTGTGATGCAAAAGAGGATACAAGTCGTTGGAAACCAGTTGCACTGGTTGCAGTGGTTTCATGATAGTTTCATGATGAGGCGCTTCTGACGCACCCCAATGCCTGCTTGTTGGGAGAAGAGGCGAGACAGTCAGTGAAGCCAAACTGGTTGACCATGTCAATCATTCGTGATAGCTGAACTCAGGTTGCAGAACAAAAGCAAAGCTTGAAAGACATCACAATAGAACTGGCCGCCAGATCCTCAATCAGTTTGAGTATTTGATGCCAAGATGTTGCATTTTTTTTGAGTGAAGACATGCCGATCAGGACATGATCGAAGCACGAAGCAAGGATGGGAAGGAGCTTGCTTGAGCCTGCTTGAGCTGCGACAATTCTATAGGGGAATCTATCCAATACTGCAGGGGTTGGTTAGCCACTCGTCGCACTTTATTCTATGTTGGTATTGTTTAACATCGCGTTGAAATGATTGTTGACATGATCCACGACTACGTTGTCTAATATGTTACTGCGACAATTCCGTTGTCTAATATGTTACTGCGACAATTCACCACCCAGCTGTGGCAGCATGAGCAGTAGAGCCTAAATTTCCTGCATCAACACAGGACTACGGCGTCATACTCCTTCCAGAAGGTTTGATTGAGCATCAGACTCAATTTGGATGACCTTGCCTCGTCCTGCTTCATGATTAGCAGTAGCAAGTATTGTTATTTGCCATGGACAACATCAGCACTTTTGGTTTGGCCAAGGTTCATTCCCGAATTCAATTCCCTGATCTCTGAAATCAACGACAAGCTCGCTCAGCCAGAAATCCAACCAACTGAAGAGGCGGGTTGATGACAAGTTTGACACGGCTTGTTAATGGTGAAGAGTCAAATAGGAAAAGCATGCAGCATCAGAAGCAAGCGTCATCCTTGGCCCAAAAAATTAGCACGTTCATTGATTCATTCTGGACCAGTCGAGCGGAAGCTATCGCGTGGTTTCAGAGACTTTCCAGCCGCGGTAGTTGGTGGGAAAGAAAGCATTGAAGGATGCACTGTGGCTACTTTGTCTTGCTGGGAGTGTTAGTTTCAGTGTTGGTTCCAGTGTTAGTTTCATTGATAGTTGTTAGTATTGGTGTTAGTGTAAGTAAATGTAATTAAGCTGTAACTGTAAGCGTCTGGTGGTGGTTGTTGTTGCTGCTGGTGGGGGTGGTGGCGGCAGCATTTGGCAGTTGTGGGAGGTGTCTGCGTTTGTGGCAGTGCCCGTGTCGGTATGGGCGTGCTTGTTTTATTCATTGCTGTTTCGCGAACCAAGGAATCCATGGGAATCCCATGGAATTCCATGGAATCCCTATGTTTGACTTGATTCAGTTGATTCAATATGCACGAGGCCATTCTGAATGTTCTCTCCAAGGAAAATGCCGACTGCTTCAGGCCATCTACCCGTGGCGAATGTAGTGAATGGATGTGAATGGTGTGAGCATCTACAGTTGTGAAAGATTGTGAGAGTGTGGCTAGCTGAAAAAGCTAGGCAGCCTTGGCAGCTGCCGGTAGGTATTTGCCTGCCTTCATTCGTGCGCAGCTTTTGCTTGACCGAGACCCTCATGGCAATGTACAGGTTGGGTAGAAACGACATACTTGATGCCTCCAAACCTGCAGACCTCTGTACTTTGTTGTAAATCTTTCTGCTTGACAAATACATAAGTTCTAACTCTAGTCAGGCCTCGTCCGTTTTTCAGGTATTGGTTCAATTGAAATTGTCTGAAAGAATCTGAAAGATCACGGAGAAACTTGTCTTGGAAGGTGGCAAAGATTGAGACCGAAAAGCTCCTGGCTGCGACAGTTCAAAGCGAGCTGGAGAATCGTAGAGCCTCAGGGTTTCTTTGACGCAACCCTGGTGGGAAGAAAACAAAAACAAAGAGAAATGACTGCGTGTCACCAGTGTGTGTTTGTCTGTCAGCAATTTATATCCCCATGATTCCCCATGTATGTAAACTTCCCCAGCAAATACAGAAGGATGCAAACTTGCAGATATCAGCAGAGGTTGTGCACACAGGCGCAATCACTCAGATCTTGAAAAATCTGTTGTATGACTCTAATGAGGTACAAGGGCACCTTCTCTCCTCAGTTCCATGCTTTCGGATACGAAGGTCGTGCGGGCATGCTCGGTCCTTTGTTGACTCCGCATACCGCAAATATGCAAAGTGCATCATAATACCTTGGATTGTCAGACAGTTTGGGGAGATGAGATGCTCACAATGGCCGCACTCACAGGGCACAATTTGCGAGTTCAGGGCTGGCAAGACGCGTGGACATGATCACAAAGAAATTGTCTTGCTCCAAACTGTTCAAAATCAGTCACCGCTTTGAGAGTCATTCTGTATGTCTTCTGAGCCTCAGGCCCACCGTTTTCGATTCATCGTATTGCTATGCTGAGCTGGCTTTATTATTTGCTTTGGTGCAGACCATAAGATGATGCTGCAATGGAACCTTTGTATCTATCTGTATCTCGCTTTATCTGGCATGGTGCCTTCAGATGTCAGGCATTGGGATATACAGCATCGTCGCTGCTTGTCCTCACCTTAGTTTCAGCTGCCACATTTGAGCGGGACTGTCGCAATACAGGACACGGCTCCCCCATGCACATTGTACGTACAAAATAAATCAAAATGAGCACGTGATAACAAATGCAACTGTGTCCCGTCAAAAGATGTATGGACAAATATTGCTCCATCTTGCTCTATAATGTCCTTCTTTGAAGTTCTTCATCCTGCCTTTCTTTTGAAGGCTGTACTGATTCAGTATTGATATGTATTAGTTTATGTATGTTTATGTGTTAGTTGAAACTGAGCTGTTAGTTGTCATAGTTGTCCTTGCTACCATGCAGGTATCCAGAGGAATCATAGGAAGTTGAAGTGTCCACCTTTCTCCTCGCTGTGTTCCAGCTCTTTTGCATCGCCGAGGTCAACGGCTGTACAGGTCTTATTGCGAGTGTGAAGAATTTGCTGGCTCCTTGCAAGGCAGGGACCGCAGTACTTTCCGAGGAAGCAATGGAGAGCCCATTGTGCCAACTTCATTTGACCTTTCAGACATTTTCAGACTCTTTGAGCAATCAGGAGAGCATTCCTTTGCTCTTTGCCCTCCCAGGAATGGCAATGCGGTGGTGTGCCAGTCACATCCTTGTGTGTCATCGAGAGGCGTAAGGGCAAGGCGAGGGTAATTGAGACATTGTCCTGATTTGTCCTGATTTGTGCTGTAAGAGGGAGCAAAGTTGGTTTGATTCTGTCTCAGATCCAAAAACTGTGTGTTTACCG